CACACACACACACACACACACACACACACACACATCTTTTGAACCATTTCAGAGTTCATTTAGTATGTAACATCATTTTAGGAGAACATTCACCCCTAAAATTCTTAAGACTATTATTTCCTAAGAGTGCATTTCCTAAAAATACAGCTATTCTCTTATATAACCACAGCAGTTATCAACTTTAGTAGATCTAACATTGATACAATACTTTAATCTATAATTTATATTTCATTTTTATCAGCTGAATTTTCAGTTCATATTTCATTCTTATCAGTGACCGAATTATGTCCTCCATAGCATTTTTTTAACCCTCCAGTATAGAATGGTCAAAAAATGTTTTTTATGGTATAGAGATATCTCTCTAAATAATCACACACACTTGGAAAGAATGGAGGGATGGAAGGAGGGGGGATGGGAAAAAAGGAAGGGACAATGGATAGAGAGTCAGCCTGCAGACTGAAGGATCCCGGGTTCAATTCCAGTCAATGGCATATGCCAGGGTTGCAGGCTCGATCCCCAGTAGGGGAGGGAGGCATGCAGGAGGCAGCGGATCAATGATTCTCTCTCATCATTGGTGCTTCTTTCTCTCTCTCTCCCCTCTACCTTCCTCTCTGAAATCAATAAAAATATATTTTTAAAAAAGGAAGGGGACAGAAGTTCCATGTTGTGGTATTTAAGCCTAACATGACAATTTAGTGGCCAGCCTTAAGCACATTTATTATTGTGCCAACAGTTATACATTTTAATTCTTAGAGTTCAGGACTGTCAATTGAAATAATGCCTATGACTTCTAAGACCATCTTTAATTAGTTAAGAACATAAAGTGAAAACATTCTTTCCCATAAAACAAATGCAGATATTTTCCCAAAGGTAAAGCTAGACATATCCAATACACAAAGTAATAAACAAAGAAACAGTTTTCTAAGATTCTTTGTAAGTGCTTACTCTTTCAACTGGCCTTGTCTTACCTAAACATAATTTTTGAAAACAAGAGGGCCTTCATGCAAATCAGTATGCAACAAGTTCCAATAAAACATTTTTCTTTAAACTATCTTTTAATTAGATGGTCACAAAAACTAAATTTATAGTACAGAGAACTAAATTATAGATTTTACAATAACATTATGTTCTCCTAGCCTATAGACACTAAAGAGTAAAATACATAGGAATGGCCAACCAGATGAGCATAGCATAACATCCTGAATCTAAATATTTTTTAAATTTTCCCTAAACCAAAATAATAATGTCAAGAATTCCTTAGGTAATATTTGTTTGGAACATCAGATAGCTTTACAGATTTTTTGTTTGCTTTCTACCAGAAAGCTTTTGTAAACAATTTTCAGTTCTTTGATTCTAGTCAGTCTACTGCTGATAAGGTTTAATATACATACTAATTCAAACTCTAAGCACTGATATTGGTCCAGAATAAAATAATAAAACTCAGTATTTATAAAGAAAGGAGGGTACTATTCAAAAGGTATGTAAGCTTTGTCTCTCTAAAGTTCAAATTCCAAAAATAATTTTTGTTAAAGATACTATATACACCCTCAGAATAAACATGTTCCTACCAAATGCTCAGTGTAAAGGCCAACTGCTATCCAGCAGCATAATCAATACTTTTGTCATAAAAGGATTTACAATATACCATATTAACCATTTATTCAAAAGCCTAACAGGTAGTCAAAATGAGTTAGTCTATATAACCAAATATTAATTTCTTTTGGCAAAAAAGTGTTTATGCATTAAATTATAATTTATTTTAATTAAAGAATTCCACCTACATAAGTGGGCAACTATTCTACTTAAGCCTACAATCAACAAATAGTTTTTCAGGATAATAGAAATCTTAATATCCCAATGTCACCAGAAGCACTCTAATTATTGAATTTCATTTACATATAATTTGCTATGAATACCTTTTGCCCGCCTTTAGCTGATTAGCCACATATTGAAGAAGACCAGCAAGATCAATTGGATATTTACGAAAAACTGCACCACAGAAACTAGCCAGACCTATATGAAATTAAAAAAGGGCTTTTAAAAAACAATTCATAAAACAAAAAGTACAATATTGAAAGTCATTTCTTCAACTAACTCAATTTCTAAAACAAAATGAGATAGGAATAACTGTATTGCTGATACCACTTAATAAGAGTTTTATAACTGATAATAGCTAATATTTATTGAGGATACATATGCAAAACACTGTATTAGATAAGCACTTTATGTTAACTTATCTCATTTAATCTTTACAATAATCATCTCAGGTTTGATGAAAATTTAGAACACAGATATAATGTATCTTGCTCATGGTCACATAATTGGTCCATGGTAAGAGCAGTGAAATATATATGGCCTGTTTCCAGAACCTGTGGCCATGACAAAATCTTTCAGATTAGTCAGTAAACTTGAATGGTCAACAAAACACCTGCCCCTCAAATGTTTGTCATGAAAAAAAAATATTTTTATCTAGAAACATGCTACTAGTTGTGGAGGGGTAAGGAAACAGGTAAAGCAATGCCAGACCAAGAAGCAGGAAAAAAAGACCAATTTTAACCAATAGTCCTTATCACATCATGAGTAGAGAAAATCCCAGTCAAGTTAAGAGGAGATCCTAGTAGAATCAGGTTATCTGTAGCCTTTTCGACAATTATTTGTTGAGCACCTAAAGGATAATGGACAAAACATAGGTCCTGCCCTCAAGGAGCTTACAGTCTAGTGATGGATAAAGAAAAGAAACTGAAATAACTATGAGGAATAAAACATTCCATGGGAGTGCAGAAAAAAGGCACCTAATTCTGATTTTGGGGCAGGAGCATTAACAGGGAAAACTTTCCAAAGAAAATGACCTCTAAGATGAAATCTAAGCTGAAATCTAAGATGTAGTGGAGGAGGTGAGTGAGCAAGGAAGGGCATTCCAAGTAAAGGGAATAATGTGAAAACGAGATATGGAAAGTGCAAGAACTTCAATATTAATGGGATACTGAGGAGGAGCAAAAGATGAGGCTAATACGGTAAGAACCTGATTCCCAAAGAACTTACTTGTATGACTTACTAGATTGCAGACTTTAAAAGGCAATGGAGAGCTACTGCAAGATTCAGCTATCAGATAGGAAAGGTTGAAAAAAGGGGGAACTAGCTGCTAGAAATCAAAGATATAAGACATTTTTTTAAGGCTAGAGTTTTTTATTATTAAACAACCAAGTTTTTGTTCTTTTAATATGACTGAAACCTCACGATAAAAATGAAAGAAGAGAGAATAGTTCCCTTAAGATTAATTCCCCAGCCCAGCCAGTATGGCTCAGTGGTTGAACATCGACCCATGAACCAGGAGGTCACGGTTCGATTCCTATTCCTCGTCAGTGCATATGCCTGGGTAGTGGGCTCGATCCCCAGCTGGGGGGCGTGCAGGAAGCAACCGATCAATGATTCTTTCTCATCACTGATGCTTCTATCTCCCTTTCCCTCTCCCTTCCTCTCTGAAATCAAGAAAAATTTATTTTTAAAAAGATTAATTCCTCTAAGATAATAAAAGTGCATTTTCATCTCCCCAGTAATGCTTGCCCAATTCTAGCATAGCTAATACTGGCCTCTTGGGTTGGAAAATGAGTAAGTATTATATGAACTTCCTTACACAGGCAAGAACTTGGACACCAGTAAAAAAAGTTGAGTGGCTATACTCAAGAGCTCTTGCCAATAGGCTCTTAGAATAGGTAAAGGAGCATACCGCATGGCAGTCATAAATGCCATCCTTGGAAAAAATAAAAATACTTACTCTGAAGCCAGCTTGAGATGGTTGTGTCATCATGTTTCATTCTCTCTTTTTCTGGATTAGCTAAAGCTTCAATGATACAATCTTTCACACATTAAGGAAAAAATTTAAGTCACTACATCTCTATCAAAGACTCTTACAACAACAACAAAAATGCCATTTCTTAGGAAAAATACAATTGTTAGCTTCAAGTTATTGCAAATTAATGAAAACTAGACTCACTATAGTATCAGCTCTTCTTTAGCTTTTTCCCATCTCTCAGCAAGCAATAGACTTCACCTATATCAAATGTTTATACATTTGAAAACTATATGATCTTATTAATCAATGTTACGCCAATAAATTTAATAATTAAAATAAAATAAAAAGATGTTTTTTCTTCCCGTTGAGTAATCAGTGGGGTGATAAAGAAAAATGTTTAGTAAATGTAACACTGTTTTCCCCTATACACAACACAGACACTCTCTCTTTTCCCCTCTCTCTCTCTCTCCTGACTGGCCAACCTTCAGATCAACCAACTGAATCAATTTCAGATAGTTACAAAAGGAACTTAGAATGAAAATAAAACATTCACCATTAAGATCTATGGAATGTGAAATCTATGTATTACTTCACTTAAAAGGATACAGGCCAAGACATCATAATTCAACGAAGTGAGGTATTTCAGTGAATCTACTACAGGTGTTATTAAGTTATCATACTTCTGTATTTGTGACAAAATCTGGAAGATAGCAACATAGAATAGATGGTGTTAACTAATCAAAAGAGAACTTCTGTGCTAACTAAATAATGGCTATACATTTTATTTTTCAAAAATAGTTTCCTTCCATTTAATATTTATATAAAACCTTGGGTGTCCCAAAAATGTATACACTTTGAATAATTATAAAGGCAGTGTTTATTAAAATACATTTCATTTTCAAAATGTAATAAAAATCAGCTGTTAAAGTGTGTATACATTTTGGGGGGACATATTATATTTTCTTGGGCTACATTTCCAATTAGGAAATAATTCTAAGATATCTAAATTTGAATTTTAGACATATGGAGGCTAGTCAAATGTGTTTTCAAAATTTCTATTTAAATATGAAATCAATGAAATGTTATTCAAATGTTTCTAACTACAATCAAATAATGAATCTATTACTGCTTCTATAAATCAAAATGTGGTAAAGGTATTAGACTGTTTATAACAGCAACACTGTTACATATTATTAAAATAGATCAATTTGTTAAATATATTCTAAAAACAAAATTAATGATAAAATGATTCATTTGCTAAAGGTTTTTTCCTCTATGAAACACTTAAAACTACATCATTCCATTCTACTTATGCTGACTTAAAGACAAAAAAAAACCCTTAAAATAATATTAACCCAAAAACATACATAATCAAACAAAATGGTTGGATTGCTGTGGCTAAGTTTCCCAATCTGTCTTCCAGAAGGTTTCACATTTTCCTTGGTTAGACGCCTACAAGGGGAGAAAAAGGTGACATGGATCATCTTAAGTAATTTCCCTCATAATGTTGATAGCTTTGATACATCATGAAAAAAAATTCCTTGCCAAATATCCAAAATGGATCCATGTAAACAACCACATTTATCACAGACTTGAATGAAGGACTTGGGACTATTCTGATTAGGCATTCTCCCAGAGGTCATTAAGATCTTGTCTTAATGCTTAATTTATAATACACACATTTCTATTTTGTAGTAATAGTCTAATAAGCATTAAAACTCTAAGGTATTCTACAAGTACATAAAACTTCTTATGGAGAATCATAATTATTTTAGATTAAGAAGGGCTATTTTTATCAGTTTAGAGATTAAGATATCCAATTTGGTATAATGTAATGAAATATCTCACACCATCTGTCTCAGTGACCATAATAGCTAATACTATATTCCTTGATACAGGAAGTTCTCTGGTTCTCAGAAAGTGTCTCTAAAGTAAAGAATTTTTGAAAAGTAAATTATCCTTTCCTTTCTCTTTAATTTTTCCTATGCTCAGTATTCTTTTACTAACATCCTGGAAATTTATATCTGTGAAATGTCTATTATACACCATCTTAAACTCTTCCAATAAGATTATTGCATAATAAATCTAGAAACTTCCAACATGAAAAGCTTACAAGTGATAGGAAGCTTTCTAAAATGAAAATATAATGAAGCAATAATAAATTCAGTTGATAGCTCAAGGAATGTGGCCATTCTCAAAGTAACAAACTTGATATAATTATCTTAAGAAGCGTCTTATGACAAAACTAACCCTCCAATTAAAATTTTTTAAAATCATCAACTGCTTCCCTTTCCCATTCTCCTTGGACTAGTTTCTTGGATATTTTTTTCCACAAAAGAGACACCCATCAGTTTCAAACTTTGGCTATACTCTGTTTCACCTTAAAACTTAACACTATCTGTCCTTACTTCTAACCATACCATTTCAGGTGGCCCTCCTACTTGCCAAAGCTAACCCTTCATCTATATATACGTTTTATCCTGTTCCTTTCTGCCTTCCACACTCTGAAGGGGGAAACAAAAATAAAAGGAATACTTTCTTGACTATAATTTCCCTTCAAGCTACCATCGTGTCTGGCATATGGAACACAATGAGTATTTACAGAATGAAGTATTAGATGCCCTATAGCAAATTCATTTTTAAACAGTAACCAAAACTTGTAAAATTCTGCAAGTAATAAATTAATACATTCCATTCTCAACATAAAAAGTTCAATCAGTATCAGAATCACACTATTCAAGCCGGTGAAATAGTTATAGCTAACACAAATCCAAGTACATTTAAAATTCTGCACACATGTTGTGAAATTTTTATTAATTTATTCATTCATATTAATGTTTTCTATTGACAAGCAAAGTGCTAAGCACTAGGAAAAAGGAGAATAACAGCTCCTGCTTCATGCTCAGTCCAGCTGCGGAGACAGAGTTAAAAAGCATTTTTCAAATGTTTATATTCTTAAACAAACAGAGCAAATCTCAGAACAGTACTTATTTATGCTATCAATAGTATAATAAGGGGGAATATATTTGTATTCATTTGTATATACATAAAAATGTCAGAAGGATAAATAAGAAACTAAACAGTGGTACTTTGTTCCCTTGGGAGGACTGAATGGAAAGGGGAATGGGATGAGAGGCATTTTCTTGCCAACCTTTTTATATATACTGAAATTTGAACATTGTAAATATATACACAATTCAAACATTAGATAATTAAAAAAGAAAAATCATAATAATAATGTATCTAAATGATAGCATTATATGTTTATGGGACAGTGGTGGCACAGATAAAGATTAATTATGCTTAGCAATATATACTACAGAAAGCTTCACAGAGGAGATGATACTGGAGCCAACCAACAGAGGATGAGGTCACCAGACAAAGAGAGAAAATCTATAAGAAAAAAATTATACGAACAGAAAAAAAAAAAAAAATATATATATATATAT